CTAGCCTGCTGTTTTTTCTTCTAATTGTAAAATTAGTTTCATGTCTTCATAGATATGGGGCTTTTACTGATCAGAACAACTATTAGATTTTTGAAATTATATCTGGTCAATCACTGATCAGGGCCAGCTAAGCTGTTATCTTGGTGTTTCTTTCAATTGGCACTAGTTTTAGGAAATTCTCTGAAATCAGCAAAGTACCTGATTGGCAGAATTAATATGTAATTAAAGACAGGTGGTTTTGCATCTACTACCATTTTCTCATTTTCTCAAGCAGTAAGCTACAGCGTGAAAGTTGCCATATACTGTAAAAGATAGAAATACAGCTCTGGACAGCTAGAAAGCCAAAGAACACAAAGCATGTTTATTGCTAAAAAAGCATCACTGGTAGTGACAGTTATCTGACTATGTCTTTTTCTTGTTGTTGCTTTCAACAAAAAGAATAATAGTTCATATTGTTTTGTGGTTACAGGCAGAGAAACAACTGAAATGCCCTGTTTGCCCCTCATGGGTAGATTAAAGGTATATTGGAGGATGTTCATTTTCCGGGTGGATCTTCCAAATAAGTGGTCCTCCAAAATGTCAATCATTCTGGTCATGTTTACGTGATGCCATCTTACGTGCCCGTCCCCATTTTCACTTACCAGTGGTGAGTCTAACAAAGTGGAAAAAACAAATCTTCTTTTGGAAAGGAAGCTTGTATGAGCGAAGCAAACAGCAACCTTTAAACAGAGCGTGCACAAGGAGAAATGGGCTTGTGCATGATCAAGCATTTAACAGGTGTTCCCTCTTGGGGGCGGATACAGGGCTTTGCATGTGCATTTCTTTTTTAGAGTGGAGAGGGTGGGTCTTTTCAAAAATTTGCAAAAATCCTCCACTATACCTTTAAGACATACAAACTATGTGTAGCTATGTGTGAAGATTACGGTTTTCTTAGTTTTTTTTATGTGTGAGACATTTTAACGGTTTATGCAAATCATATTTTAGCTGTTTTAACATCAATGAAAATACTCAAATGAGTCAATTCCTAAAAGTTGAAGAAAGACTGCACTATTGATCTATGAATTTAACTTTTACTGTAAAAATCACTGGATATGTCTTGCTTACCAGGACTTTATAAATGTACTGTATCTTGATCAGTCTCCACGATCTGTCGATCAGTCAGTTGTTTGCATGTATCATTTATCAGGTGTCTTATGCTGACACTGAGTTAGAATGACTGGAGGAGCCATTCAGCTTAGCTCCCTGTTCTCAAACCTCAGTAATGACCTTTCTAACAGCCACAGCAGAGTGTTGAGTTATGGGATCAGTCAGTGGGCTATGTCAGCCGACATCACCACAAGATGCTCAGAGAGAGGCCGTGATTGTCTGTGTTCAGCAGACTGAAGGATGGACTGGATCAGTACTCACTTGTACCCCTCTCCTTTACTCACACTTTCTGACATTTGAACCCCTCAAAAATATTTATTAGATTATTAGTTTAATCCTGAAATGTTATGACTGACTGCTGTATAAATGTAGTTGAACAAAGAAAAGTGATCAAAGATATCAGAATGTGACTGGAAATGGGGGTTGTGTTCCTTTAGTGGTGCCAGTCCTCAGCAATGTGTTTCTTAAACAATGCTCCCGCTGTCTGTGCGCACCCCACCCACTCAGTCAACTAACACACAGTAATGGGCTTCTTTAAGTGTTTATCTGGTTTAATAGACACACTCATGCTCTTCTTTTATCCTTTTTAAGTCTTGAGGATAAGTCTCAGTGTGCTGCTATGCTCTAATGTGTCTGACAAAGAGCAAAGAAGCTCAGCTTCCCTGAGTCTTTCCTGTAATTGTATTCTGCAACTGCAAAGTTGTAGACGACTTTTTTTTTGCGGAGGGGGGTTTCAGGGTGCAACCTTATATGTCTGCTTCGATAAACAGTGCAGGGTCATTTGCAAATTTGATTTAGCTGCCAGCATTTTAAATGATTCTGGCAGTAAGACCAACTCGTTTTGGACCCCTTTGGGAATGACAGCTCATTTTAACCCAGGTGCACCAGTTTCTGCTTATGCAGTGTGCTGGTAACATTAAAGCCTCTTGACTGTTTCTTTTCTTTTTTTTTCTTTTTTAGCAGAACAGTCTTTTTGCTTGTCCTTTTCAAGCTGACTGTGACATGCTGCTTGGTTGGCATCAGCCTCAGTCCAGAAACCTGCTGGGCGGCCTGACCTTAACTCAGTCTGCTGCCATTATACATCCTCGGTCGACATTTCAAACAAGCACAATGCCGTGTGGCCTCGCCTGTGGTGACGGTTGACTTTGAGGTTAAGCCAAAGAAAGCTGACAAACCAGAGAATATTTGATTGCAGGAAAAACTTTGCTCTGGAATTTCAACAAATTTATTCTCACGCCCTTAAAAAGCAAACTGGTATGAAATGTGAATACAGTAGATTGCAAGTTTCCAAAAGTGGAAGTAGACATTATTATTTTTTTTTAATTAAGTAAGTTAACATATCATGTATGAATCACACATTTTCAAAATTTTAGTGTGCTTATTTGGGTCTGATGTAACGATCAGCACAGAGCAGCACAGAATGGAAAAAGGGAAAGGCATGTTTTTAGTGCAAAAATCAAAAAAGTTTTGTTTGCACTTGAATTGTGCCCTGTCAGCTCGGGAAATCATTAAGAACAATATCAGATGTGGCTGCTTGCAGCTTTGGGAGATAAGATTAAAGAAGCTATTGACAGAACTATTAGTTATTAAAACCAAAAATCCGTAACTGTAGTGCACATTTCCCTTACTACACCATCAAGACTGTGAAAAATTGTTATGGTGACAGCATCATGGTGTGGGGTTTGTATTCAGCCAGGGCACAGTTGATAGAATGATAGATGGCACTACATAGCAGAGCAGTGAGAGCCATAGCTGCAGGGTTTAGATTGACACATAATTATGTTAGAATGGAAGTTGAAAACCTTAATTTGAAACTATGGCAAGACATGAAAACTGCTGATCACAATCACCTTAAAAACCTATATTCATTGGACATGAAAGCTGCCGGAACCATTTCCCCCCAAACTACCTTTGTTATACTTTGTATAAGACTATAATATAAAAGTCTAAATTAAATGCTTTGAAGTGTATAGTTGTGGTTTGAAATACAGTGAAATTTCAAGGGGTATGAATACAGTATAAGTCATTCATCCTGTGGCCTGGTCATAATGAACGGTCATAATCTACAAGTTTGGGGTTTTTCACCAACCGCATCCTCTTAGAGGCATTGTCAGATACTTCATTTAGAAGCCATTTTTAAATAGGGAAACAGGATTCAAACACGCTGCAAAGTAGATTTAATGCAGCCCTTGTGCTCGTTATCAGATGGCTGCTGGATTAGATTACACGTTTGTTTCCTAATGTGCAGTTCTCTATAGGGCACACTGCTGCTTTGTGCTGCTCACATTCCCTTCTCAGCTGACAGATGGTCTTATCCAGCGTCTCTCTAATAACAAACACAAACCGAAGAGCTGCTGACAACCTGTTTCAGGAAGGACTTGAACTGGCCCTTGGGAAGTGCATGCAGTTATGTGTTTGTGTAAAATCCGTTCTTATTTGCGCACCCGCAAACACACAGAGACTCATCATTCAGCCCAGGTCTCCAACACAAATAAGCATGGGTCCGACCTTGTGTGACAGAGCTCTGACAGATGCCAATCACTCTGTGAACCTATAAACATTCCTTTGGTGGGCACAGTTATTACATTGAACTATACAAATATAGCCAATCTAATGCTATTAATCCTTGCTTATTGATGTAACCTCATGTTAAATTTAGACCTCACTGGAAAGACAGCTAAGATCAGATTCCTTGGGGGAGTCTGTTTAGAAAGATCCGGAGATGGAGTTTATTTTAAGTTCTTAGGTCGGACACATTGATGGCTATGCATGCTTAGGTATCCAGACCTCAAAAACGCCCCAAAGGAATGTTTCTTGTGAGTTTTAAACACACAGAACATGACAACAAATTTGGGGCTTGTGGAAAACACAGCCTTGAAGACTTTTAAAAAGTTCATAATAACCCCCTGAGTGCAGAAACTACTTTGCAGACCTGGTGTCCCTCATTTCCTCTTTGGTTTCTTTCATTATGCCCTAGGAAACCAATGTTTGGATCCTTGAGTAAAAAGCCAAACATAACTAACTGTATTTGACAGCTTATCCTTCTGGTTTGTTTCCACCTTAGCTTGGCAGCACCCCATTAGTGCACAAAAACCTCAAAGATTCCCTCAATGGTGGTTAGAAAGTAAATCTTGCTGCTGAAACGGGACTTTCCTGCTCCTTGAGTGAGAACTTGTTTGGCCAACAATATGTGAATGCCAACCATCCGTGCCTCTCATTATAGATGACGAAGGAGTATGTTTGTCTATGGTGGGGCGCATGACCTCCGCTGTGGCCTCTCTGCTCCATCTGTAGTTGGCTGCTCAACCGAGGAGGACGTATCAAACAAACACTCCTACATAGAACTGACAGAAGATTTTCTAACTCTCAACTTGCCAGTACATGTTTGCTACATCTTTTTATTATTGGCCCATGCACTTTTATGACCTTTGGAAAATGGTGTCCAAGCAATAAGAGGAATGTTTAAACCCATCAGAGGGGTACAGAAATGTAACCCCACTCTATGATAAAGGAATCACTTGTGAACACATATCAGTCAAACTGCTGCATCTGTTTTTCCTGACTTCCCACAGAAAGTCACACTCAGTCTCTAGTGGGAGATTTCCTAGATCTTTTGATCCACTCAGGAGGTATTAACCCATCAACGCAGTGTGACATACCCTCAGTAGCACTTGTTTCTAATGCGCGGTGTTGGGTTACAGTTGTGCTCATGGAAAACCATCAGATAAGTTTATGTAGCTATGCTGCAGTGGTTTGAGGGATATGTCTGTTGTGCATACATGTGTGTATGAGAAAACATACATATATAAATGTGTTCAGCAGTCATATATTGCACACTTTCTGTCTCTATGCAGAGCTAAGGTCTACCGGTACGGCTCATCACTTCGCCTACCTGCTCAATGCATCTGACTACAGGATTCTTCGAATGGATGAGGACCATGACCGAATGTATGTTGGCAGCAAGGACCACATTCTCTCCCTAGATCTCCATGACATCAACAAAAGCCCACACATTGTAAGACTTCTATTTATGCCTAGCACTGTGACCTTAATCTGGGATAAGGCAAACACCTTTACTGTAGCTATTGTATTTCTGTATTGTTTCCTCTCAAAGGACTCCACATTTTGCCATGTTTCAACCCAAGGTCTCATTGCATGTTTATATGGTACAGAGACACAACAACTGTGAGGTGGATGCATGTTTAAGTACAGTTTATGTAATTCATAGAAAATGACAGTCCCCTATTTCCGACTCAATACCTGAAATTATTTCACTGCTGTTGAATCAACATCCATGTTTCCCTAATTTCTCTGATAGAGACATACAAGAGAATGTCTCTCTTGTATCTTTAAAGCTGCACTATGTAATAATGTGATGACTATTTGTCTGAACAGATCGGTAGTATTGTACATTAAATAATGTAAACTAATGTACAGCAGTCTTTTCCCTGCAAATTGTTACTTTCATACAAGTCAGTGTAGTATAAGTCTGCCAATGAGGTATCATAAGGTGATTTAGCATCTCCATGATTTAGAGCACTTAGCAGATATGGTACTTACAAGTCCAATAACAGGTCTGCATCAGTTTTGCCTCTTTGCATTTGTTTGAATTCTTGTTACGCAGCAAACGCCCTGACCAAGTTCACTCTGCATGCCCTGTATCATTCCAATTCTCATTTCCTCTTGCTTTCCTTTTCTGCCAAAGCATCTCTTTGCCTGTTTTTTGCTCACTCTGACATGTCACAAACTTCCAAAGTAAAAAATAAACACTATCATTATCTGTGGGTAGTGCACCACAAGGTGCGTGACTATTGATTCTATAAACCTTTCAATGGGAAACTGTACAGCTACTTGTATTACTGCAAGAACAGAGCCACAAGGCTGCCACTGTGTCAGTCACATAGAAACTTGCAAGTGTGATTTTCCGACCAGAGCCAGTAGGGAGATGACAGATTATTAATCGTCTTTTAAGCACTTAAAATACTTAGACTTAGAATAGTGTGTATTGAGGTGGAAATGTTACCCAGTGTTGCTTTAACTTAACCACATTAGATAGAGATTATATATAAGAACATACATTTTCAAATCCTAACCCAATCCCAACTTTGACTATGACATTCTAAGATACAGAATGCTCATGTATTAGACTGGCCTTGTCCAAGTTTATATGTTGACTCTGAAGTTTGACTCGGTCATAAGAACAATTAAATTCTATGGTCTAAACTAGTAGTTCTGCAAATCATAACAGCAAATCTAATTGTTTAGATTTGCTGTTATCTTGTAACTGTAACCTTTGCCACAACCTTGGGTGATTTGCTGCCTCCAGCTGGTTGTCTGTCAGTGTTTTGCTCAGTTTAGCTTCCCATTCCTCCATAATCTGCTACAAATACCCTCCTTCTTCATGCTGAGGAAGATAATCCCCCTCCATCATACTCCCACCACCAACAAAGGGGATATAAAACAAATGAATGCCTTATTTCGGAGATTTTGACATAAATTTGTTTAGAATCATGTGTAATATTCTGTCCACTTTACAATAATGTTCTCCATGTTTTTACTATCAATCACAATCCCAGTTAAAACATGTTGAGATCTGTAAATGTAATGTAACAGAATTTTATTCTATTACCTCAATGGTAACCAAACTGGTGGTTTTTGTCCGGCTTCACTTTATCTGGTGTGTGGTTCATTAAACCACTGTGCCTGGGTTCCAGCCATTTCAGCAGGACTGGTATTGGCTGATGTGGATTTCCCTTAAGATTTTTAACTTTAAAACTTCAATAAATGGATTAATGTGTGACAGGTTTGATTATAACAGTAAAGCATGTTCTTGTGTCACCTTTTGCAGATACATTGGCCAGTGTCTGAACGAAGGCGAACAGAATGCCTTGTGAGTGGGAAAGATGCCAGTGTAAGTATCCTTAAAGATGCTTATAAACATGTTTTTCCCCCTCTGACTTGAGAATAAATGCAGTTTTAAAGGTATTCAACTATCTCCATTCCTCCTCGTACTTTTAATATGGATGACTGGTTTGTCTTTTGTAGACTTGAAATCAGCCAACTCAAAAATAATTGGCGAATAAGGGACTTAAGGCAGATATTTATAGGGTTGCATCAACTCTGATAGTTTATGGAATATTCAGAAATTTGCTTGATTTTAATTTTGATAAATTAGATTTATGTAAATCTTAGAATAGCAGCCCCATTTGAATTTCACTCAGTGAATGATTTACTGCAATTCCTGTTTTTCTAGGAGGAGTGTGCAAACTTTATCCGCTTGATAGAGTCGTGGAACCGGACACATCTGTATGTCTGTGGAACGGGAGCCTACAATCCAGTCTGCACCTTCGTCAACCGCGGACGTAAACCTCAGGTTAGAAAGTAATACCTGACCAATGCAGTGCCAAACAAGGAGAACTAAACAGATTAAACAGCTCCATCATTAAGGACCAAGTGTGGTTTCCTTTGTTGCCTCACCTACCCAAGTTTGCCTTGCATCCACCCTACATTAGTTGCCTATTATCATAGTATTTGTCCATCATTGGTAAACCCGTTCTTGATTACCGTGTGTCCTCATGTGGTTAAAAGACCAGCTTCTCAACACACAGCTGCTGCCAGCAGGGAGTAGTTAGTACTTCTCTGTTTAGTGTCAGCATTTAATGGGAGCCTGGACTAACTGCTTTGCCACACTCCCTAGTAACACCTCACTGTTTTTGAATGTCACCCTTATTCACACAAAATTATCCAGGGATTTGTTTTTTAATAAAAAGCAGTAAATTAAACTTATAAATGCTATTGGTGTTTCCTGTAGAAATCACAGAGATTTCAATGGCAACCACCAATTGCACGAGTCCCTTTAAAATCCAACAGCTTGCCCGTGAACACACCACCAGACTAATGATGGACCTCCATCCAGTTGCTCACACATCCATCCACCGCTTCATGCATTCATCCAGGCCAGCTGCCAGACTACAATGTGGAATGTTTGGTAATTGCAAGTGGGACTCCCATTATGGGGTGCAAGTGGAAGGTTCCAGTGTTGGTCCATTAATGGGAGCGTTATTATTTTTTCTGGAACACCAAGCAGGCGGGCTTGAGTCATGCCCCCAACAGCACCTCTCTCAGGCGGTCCAGCTCGTAAACTAAAAGACAGAAAAAAAAGCAATTTACACGTGCCTAGTCCTTATTAATTCAGAGTGCTTGTTGTTTCTGATTAGACATTTTAAGGATGCTGATGCAGGTGTGTGCTCATTGGTTTTTGGATGGTGTTGGACAATTTCTTGCCTTTCCAGTGGGTTTTAGCAGCTTGTAACAGAAAGAGTGAGTCATTATTGATTAGAGTGCAGAAAAGGAGGACCACTGTTGCTCACTTACGTATCACCATCTAACCAAATATAAAAACACACTCTATCCCCTGTGCAACCATGCACCACCTTAAGTAGTGCTTTGATAAAAAAACTATTTTACCTCCTGATTTTCTGTACATTTTGTCCAATTATAACCAATTTACTTTGTTTGGTTTTCATGCGGCAGACCAACAAGCAGCTCACCATCATTGTCAAGTAAAGGAAAACATGTTGGGATTTATTTATTTTTTCTTACAAAGGTTGTAGTGTTCCACATCATGATGCTGCAGCCTTCTACTCTAGAGGCTGGAAAAAAATACATACTATAATTTAAAGGTTTTTACCCTAAAGGGCTGATATTGTGGAACTGGCTTGTTTTTCTTACAATGTGGGATTTTTTTTGTTCAAACCAGAAAAGCCCACGAGTATGTACATTCCACAAATCGCAAATTTGGCTCTTCTCCTTTTATTTACATAATTAATGGATGGTGCTAACATAACCATGCTTCTATGGAGAGTGGGATGATTTAACCAATCAAGTATTCGTTGTAAGTGATACTGCTTGTTTACATTTTTTAGCCTATTATGTAAGGAATCAGGATTAAAAACATTTCCAAGGCTGCTAACACCGCAGTATGTACATACACATATTCAAATTATCATGCGTTCCTTTGCAAGCACATATGAAAAATGGTCAGAGCTCTAAATGTGGTACTCCAGAAAATTATTTAATTTGACTTTAAAAATAATTTCAGAAAGGGTGTATATGCAAAATACCAGGCAACAAAATACCATAAGACTCATTTAAATTGAAAATTTTAAACAAGAAAAATAGCTACAAAATCATCCCTAAAACTTCTAGTTACTTTGTGATGGCAGCACCATGATGTGGTGATGACAGTAAGAAAGGTCCTCCCACTTTACAGTATCTATTACTTTGGGTCGGTCACATAAAATTCCACTTAAATGTATTGGGGATTAGGAGGCTAAAGGCTAAAGGCTTATAAAGACTTTTTCCAAACACTCTACACATATTGGCGGTTTGTTTTACTTGAGTAATTGGCTAAAGCAATTAACAAGTTTGCAAAGAAGGGCCTTGATCCTCCCTCGCCTGCCGCGTAACATCCCGATTGTATTGCTGTTTCCTGTTTTAGACGTCCATGTATCTTCAGATGGCCGAGGCCAGGGGAAGGGCTAGCCGCGCGGCCGAACCCAGCGCGGTGCACGAGACACTTGGACTTAAGGTGCGATGAGGGCCCTGTTTGCAATACGGCCCCAGCAGACTGCTGGGGTCGTGGTCACCAGCAGCATGTCCCCATTCTTTGTGTCTGAGCACAATGCCATTTTTAATCAAAAGCCATCGTTCATTTATCTTTGTAACATTTAGCATGCACCTGTTTTAATTGTGCTTAGTTTTAAAATTTGATTACATGTTTCACTCATTTTTTCTCTGTGTCCACCTTATTGTCACAGCACAATGTCTGATTCATCAATGTTCTTTGTTCATTTTGCCTTATATCTCTGTTAAATGCCATGTTTTGCATGAGACCTGCATTATCTTGTGAAATGGGCTTATCAGGCTGCTAAAAACACAAGACTCAATTTTAATTCAACTAGCTTTGGCTCCGTTTTAATGCATGGCATTCAGTTTCATTTATCATACAATAAGATACATATCATAAGCGGTATATATTATAATCATTCATAGCTCTTATCTGAGTAAAACCAGCTTGCCCCACCCATCAGCTCTTCACCCCACAGAGCCCGAGTCAGCATCTGACCTACTCCCACAGCAGGGCATGTTAGCCCAGAGCAAACACCAGCCATCTGTATTCAACTAGCTGCACTGTGAGGAAAGTAAAAGAGCAACATACTTGAACATGTCTTCACTTGAAGCGCTTCGGAATATGTAAAGTTACTTTAGAAGGATATTTAGGGCTTAAAGGAAAGAAGGACACTTTGAAAATGGTTTTAGTGCCTTATGCCTCTCCAACCTGATCTTGTTACATACTCCAAGCTTAATTTTATGAGGGTTTTGTAACAGGTGAACACTGGAGCTACAGTATTAGCTGTGAAGTAATGATAAAAACACTTTTTCAAGAAAATAAAAATCTGAAAAATTTGGCATGCATTTTATTATGACCACTAGAGTCAATACTTTGTGTTGTTACCATTTGAAATCAGTTACATCTTGATGTCTTGGGGGGTCGTATCTATCAGCTCTGCATCAAGACACTGTCTTAAACTTCCCTAGGGTATAATGCAGCTACCATTATGTTCCACTGTTTGTTTTGGTTTAGCATGATATCAAATGTCAATTCTGCAAAATGTATTTCCTGTTGTCATTTGACAAGAGCACTTTCTTCCTCATATATGGTGTACATGTAGTAATGGTCTTGTCCCATATACTGAGTCTTTGCTCTGGCTGTATGCATGGTTGTTAAGTTTGGATTGCGGTTGAGCATCACTGAAATTAATCTTAAAAGTGAAACCCAATGCAGCTCACAAATTACCACCAGAAGGAATTTGAGAAATGCCACCAAAGTGGTCGATGCCAAGAGACCCTGAGAGACAGGACTATTTTTGGGAATGCGTTATGGGTTTTTAAGCATGGATTTGGTCAAGGAGAAGGGAATGGAAGCTGTCTAAGCTAAGGCTAAGGAAAGCAATAGATTTTATGAGGTGGAGGGTTTTTTTTACTCCCCTACTTGAGCCCAGTGGATAGAAGCAATATCAGTTTAAGACGTTTGCTTTAGCACTAACCTAGTAAAGCCAGCTGAGGCGGTCGGGGACAGGATGACTCGTTACTGAGGTGTGTGCAAGTTGTATTTTTACCCAAATGTGCAATATACTGTACTGTATGAACCAATAGGAACTAATAGAAAATTCTACAGCAATAGTCACTGTTCAGCCCTAAGAGTGGAGTAAGACTATGTAAGAAAGCTATTGCAGAACTAAGCAAGTTCACATGGAAATCTAAAAGAATTACACTGTTACATTAAAGTTAATATAGTTTATCTGCAAAAAGGGTAAATAGTTACACTTTAAGCCGGACATACGCTGTGCTATAATTTAAATTTTTGCACGTACGACGAAACCACAGGGTTTAAAAGTTCACAGCTCTCGATGTATTCTCACACACTGTGCGACCTGATGCGACCTTACGACGGCTGACTGAATTTCAAACCTCTTTGATTTTCTCCCGATCTTACAATTCCTAATTGTGAGGTGGTTGTGAGAGGGTGATCGCCCTTCATTAGCCCCTGTAATCCACACGACGCACCACACATGATCAGGCTGACTGGAGAATCTGCCCGAAAAGAGCAAAAGTCGTACAGTGTATGCCCAGCTTTAGTTCTCTTTGGAAGGTAGTTTATAGCAGTCACCTTTATTCAGAGTCATGAGATTTAAGGAGGCAGAATCCAAAAGTCCACCACACTTTTAAGAATATTTGTCTAAAAAACTTAGACCAATTCATCATTTTCATTCCAGTTTAAGATTATGTGCTTTTTTTATTTATTTATTTATTCATTTTTTACTTATAGTCACACTATAACACCAGGAAGTATTTATAGAGTAGAAATATGCCCAAAAATTGTGCATGAATACTTTTTCAGAGCGTCTAGCTAGACTTTATTTCTTGACTGTGAACTTTTCTGCAGGGTAATTATTTGAGGCCGTTTTTTTTTTTATATTTTTGCGTCAAACAGATTTTTCTTTAAGTGCAGATAATTATCTGTGACTCTCTTTTTCTCTTGCACTTTACTTTCTGGCATGGCTCTGAGTCAAGTGCCAGCACCTTCTTATTTGCTCAAGTGGTGATTTTAATCGAAGATGAATAGGGAATTGCAAAAGAGTATGTGTGTGATTCATTGAAGTGTGTTTGGCAAAGAGCCACAGTCTCTTCCCTGCTGTAGTGTTGATGGACACTGACAAAGATGGCTCCATCTCCGTCCCCGCCGGGAGTGAAAAATGACGAATGGACATGCGAGGCTGGGCCAGAGGACATGTCATCACATGCCACAGCTTTATTTTACCCTACCCATACGCAAATTCCTTCCAATCACTTACATGAGCTTGTGTTCTAAGATGTCACAAGTGTTGAGCATCAGTCATCCAGCCTCCATCCTTGGCTTGTTTTTCCTCTGCTGGATTACAGGTGTCAGCAATCAGCCTGTAAGCATTGAGAACCAGAGAGGTGCTATGCTTGCAGCTTGTTATACAGTGAGGCACAGCCCATGAAATGCTTGTTTCTGGAGTAGACCTGGCACAGGGACATTGATTAAAAATTCCTCGCTTTCACTGCATGCATTTTTCTGTATGAACTTACACTCATTATTCTAACACTTCATCCCCCACCAGGCCCTGTGGGTCCCACAGGTGTCAGACGCAGCGCACATGCTCTCTTCCTTTCCCCTACCCCAGGGAATCACAGTGGCAAGATGAAGAGTGCTGAATTTATTGCCATCTCCATGTGATTTTTCTGTTTCAGGAAGAGATTTTCCACTTGGAGCCTGGAAAAGTGGAATCGGGGAAGGGGAAGTGCTCCTATGACCCGAAGCTCAACAGCGTGTCAGCTTTGATTAGTGAGTATTACTTGGTCATGTGAGGGTGTGGGCGTTGATATTATTCCGTCAACATCCTATCAAAAAATATCCTGTGGGATTTTTTGGGGGTTTCTCTGTGACCTTCAAGCTTAAAATTAGGATTTACTAGAGTTGTTAGGCTCATTCAGCTAAGAAGTTGAAACAATAGATTTATTTTTTTTTAAACCACAATCTGTGAATCTAAAATCTATTTCAAATATTCCAGTGCAGATATGATAAGTGTATATTGTGGCCTTTATTTATTCCTAAGCTGGACATAACGCCAAATAAGGCCCTGGAAGAGATCCCTTGTATGCGTTTGCAATATTTATCAATTTCTCTATAAGTGATTATCATTTTAGGGTCACAGGGGGTTGTTCCCCAGTAACTATCACCAATGTTCATTGGGCCAAGGGTGGGGTGTACCCAGGGCAGGTCACAGACTCACCACACAACAATGCAGGAATGCCAAAGGACAAATAACTGTGTAGTCAAGTTAGAGAAGCCATTTAAGCTAACATGCAAATTTAATGAATTAGGATGAAAACCAGAGTATCTGGATGGGGATAATATTTAGGTTATGCTGAAAGACACCAAGTCATAATGGAAATCCAGAACTTTCTTTTAAAGAAGTGCACCTTTATGTAGCTCTGCTTTAAATAAATAGTATTGGCTACTATTTATTTGAAACAGAGCTACATAAAGATCAAGGTTCAAATACACGATATAAAGTCAACATTTAATAATATTTCAGCTAAGCAGCATGTAACGTATTTATATATATATTTCCAATATTTAAAAGATGTACACAAAAAATTTACTCCTAAATAGAATACTCAGTATCTAAGGTTACCATGCCAACAAGCTTGTCAACAAAACAGGTTCTCTGCTTCAAATATCCAGTGACAGATACTAGAGGTGGGCGATACCGGGATTTTTTAATCGATCCGATACCAAGTAAATACTGGGTCAGTATCGCCGATATCGATACCGATACCGATACTTTTTACATTTAAGCTGCACTTGCCTGTTGCTTTTTTTCTATAAAGTTCTCAATCGTGGAATAAATAAGAGATTATCTAATGTTAGCTTATTTTAGCTAACAATTTTTAATGGGATAAATGTACTGGGTTTTTTCAAGGTCTTAACTACACTTTCTGAGTAATATATGATGTATAATGAAGTGCTGCAGACGATGACCACTGTTATCTACCTGGATATTCTCTGGAGGACTGAAACGCTTGGATCAAAGATGTCTGTCTGAGGCTGGAGGCGGGTCTTTGGTCTCTCTCTCCATCCAAGTCTGAGTGAGCACTCACCCAGCAACCGGCAGCGCGGTTGTCTGTGTGACGTAGTGCTGAGTGGGCAGGCCAAGCTAAGCCTGCGCGCTGATTGGCTGGCGCCGCTGAGCCATGTGACTGTAGGAGAGGGGAGGGGGAGCAAAGTGCTGTTACACATATGGGGAAACTGGTGACTCCGCAGCAGTCAGCGCGCGCGAGAGAGGATAAAAAGTATCGATCTTGTTAAACGAATATTGTTCAATATAAATACCAGCGTTGGTATCGATAGTATCGATCCTGGGATCGATCCGCCCACCTCTAACAGATACAGTAGTTAGCAGGAATAGTTTAAGGAAGAGTTTAAGAAAGACACCAATAGATGATTTTTTTATACACTTTATGTAGAGTTATTAAACACTAACTGTGTTTAATAACACAGTTTGTATTTTGTTGAGAATTTTCCCTTTAGAGCTAATAAAAATACAGCATCTAACATCTAAGATAGGAATATTGCATCAAACCATTTAAGAATGATTTGACATACATCTTAAGACTATATGAAAACATATACTGTAGATAGACATTTCAGATATACTTTAGACAATATGTTAATCATTAGGCCAAAATTATGTTTTAAAATTGTACCTTTTGTTTTTGACCATAAGTGTAGTAGTTTGACCATAAGGCTCAGTCTAGATGCTATAATTTCTTATGATATAGCAATTATAACCACTCTCCTCTTTCCCTTGGTCTCTTAGACCATTGTCGGTAGTATAAGGGGATCTGTCTGCAGGGTGAAGCAGCGGGTGAAAATAACTGGCACCGCTTTCCCATATTTGCACTGTACCAGCTGACCGGTATCAAATGAGGACTGTCGTCCAATATGGATTTGCGTCTTGCCTCCATCATTTAACCTCATACAAGGGACACCGTTGTTATTGTTGATAAGGATTAAAAACTCTGTGCAACAACAAAAGATTTAGCATTGACCACCAACTGTTCAGCTCCCCACTACATTAGACATGCAGTCATCCATGGACATTTTAATGATACATCATCCATCTTCACATTTCACTGCTGGGGACCATGACATTGAGTTTAAAAGTGGTAGAAAAATATATTTTTTCTGCTCTCCCGATAACTGACAACTTTACACCTGTATTCTATGGGGACTCTAAGAAGGAACCAACACATAAATGTACAGCAAAACTGAAAAAAAAGTATTTCCACTCACAATATATACAATATAGACCTGTTTATTGTATTGGCTGACCCAAAGTGGTCTTTAATTGGGACTAAAATTATGCATTTTATTATTTTTGAGAACTAAAATATCTGAAAAAATGTGCTTTGTGATTTGTATTTATATTTTGAACTGTTGGGGTTTGTCTCTTGCGGCTTTCCACATCTAGAGACATTTTTGCTATTTTCTTTGCAGAATAGCATAAATCCCATTAGATTAGATGTAGAGTTTGTTAACTATATTTTTTAAGTTTAATCACAGATCATAACTTGTATTTAAGTTTTTTTGATAATTGCTTTTTTTTTTTTTTTTACCAAACCATTGCACAGTAGCTCTGGATGTAGGTTTGGGGTCCATCTGGCTTATGAACGTATTTTCCGCTCTTTCTCCATCCATCGCCTTGTCAGGCTTTCTGGCTTCCTATTCCCTGCTGAAGAAAAGAATCTCCTCAGCATGACCCTGCCACCACCATCCACTTTCTTTTTGGTTAAGTTCTCACTGCGGGTTGCACGAAATTCCAATTGGCTCTTCAGTAGCTCCTTTCTTGGCAATCTGCTGAATTTGTCTTTGTAGTTCAAGACTAATATTTGTTGTATCAAGACATTTTACCACCTGAGCTGTTGATCTGCGTAGCTCCACCAGAGTTACCATCAGTCTTTTGGTTGCATCTCTGATTAATGCTCTCCTTGTCCAGCCTGTTAGCTCATCATTGTTTATGATTTAGTAGGTTTGCAGTTGTGCCATTCTGTTTCCATTTTTAGATAATAGATTATAAAGAGCTCTGTAAAAAGCTAAAATCTGATCTGTCTGTATTCAATGGTCTTTATGATGCTGTTTTTTCACTGGTGCTCTCCGATGACTAGACAGAACCACTGGGTTAATACAAAAATTAAATGACAAACAAATGCACTCTATTTGTTAATCTATTGCCTTTTTCTTTTTCTTGACACTGAATTTTATTAAGGGATATAAATTAGATCTACATTTGTTCTATTGTTCTGTTTACATGATCCCAATAGACCAGGGTGGATGTTATTGACAGTAGCGTCTGCTTCACACCAAGATATGTTACATCATAACATTAGAGTGTGCAACTGACCTGGGCTATTGTTTTTTTCTTTGTCATTTTCAGATGGAGAGCTGTATGCTGGTGTCTATGTTGACTTCATGGGAACCGACTCAGCCATTTTCCGTACTTTGGGGACAAAAACTGCTATGCGAACTGATCAGTACAACTCCAGATGGTTGAATGGTAATTTTCCTCTTTCAGTACATTTTCCCATTTTACGTAATATGCAATACAAACAGATTCATAAATGTGCAGCATAGTTAAAGTCTGTTGTTGTGGGTGCATGTGTTTTAAATCAACCATCTATGAGGTTTCCAACAGATGTTTTCCCCTTTTCTTTCATCTCATAGATCCCACTTTCATCCATGTGCATCTTATCCCGGACAGTGCGGAGAGGAACGATGACAAACTCTATTTCTTCTTCCGAGAGAAGTCAACTGAAATGGGTCAGAGTCCGGTGACCCAGTCCCGCATTGGACGAATCTGCCTGGTGTGTACACAGAGTGGAGTGGTTTTGGTTAGTTTAATGAAAAGAAAAAACTGTAGCATTGAAATGAAGAGTGTGCTGTCTCCTGAGGCAAGTCACCCACTGTGTTTGAACATCTAGCTCAAAGCTAGTGTTTGGCTCACGCTAATGCGCAGGAATCCACATGTGTCTTTAACCTTTCTGTCTACAATGCATCCTTCTGTCTGTGAGACTGCTCCCTGACCTCTGACCTCATGATCCCCTGGCCTCTTCTCCCTGGTAGTCCTGACATTTAAAAGTGCTTTTGTCAGTACAGCTACAGAAACAGAAAGCTGCCTTTTTTAATTAAATTGGACTTCCTGCGCAGATGCCTGCTCACCCCGTAAATCTAAAGCAAACTGAGGCAGAAAAATAAATCATAGCAAATGCCTCCAGAAGGATGATCGAGCATCTTGGTGAGCTGATTGTATTTGTAGAGCTTATTGTGTGTGTGTGCCCACCTCCAATGTGTTCTTGCTTGATCATTACAGTTGGAGAAACAAGAACAGGTCTGAATGAGAAAATATGGCATACTTGCTTGCTTGTCATCTCAGCTGCTCTTCATTGTATTTGTTTAAATACGGGTCAGGCAGTGACCCGGCACACAAACACTCATCCTTCTCCCACCGGACGCTACGTCGGCACCCTCCAAAGACACGGCCCTGTCACTGTGCATTCGCCTCACATCTGGATGCTCTTACTGCCATTCTTGCACCACCAATCGTATTTGGAGTGGAATTACAGTGAACATTTTTAAAACACTCTCACTCCTAAAGTATGGCTGCAAGACGAAGGCTGAAATCTGTGACTGCACTGTGAACCAACAGATAACGTCTATCAGAAGTTATCCTTTTAGGGATGAGTTCTGTCCTCTCCCTGTAACTGATAGAGGAGTAGTAAAGGAGAAAAGTCTTCACTCCAACCCTTGGTGTTCTTGTGTGTATGTGTATATGTGGGAGCTCTTGCATGTTGGTTTGTTTCCACCTGGGAAAAGCCAGAAGGATGCAACTGATGTAGAAAATGTTTTTTATGCCCCTCTCTGCTTTCTTGGCAAACAGAATGATGATGGAGGTCACTGCTGCCTGGTCAACAAGTGGAGTACGTTCCTGAAAGCCAGGCTCATCTGCTCAGTGCCCGGGACCGACGGCATGGAAACACACTTTGATGAGCTCAGTGAGTACAAATACTTTTCCCTCTGCCAAAAATTGTCCTACTGTGGCTCTTCCAGCTACAGTCTTATTGGGGGTTTGTGTTGTCAATCAGAGTGAACATTTGTAATTGCTTTTAGAGGTCAGTTTCACTAGAAAAACCCAACTTCAGCTCATTTAGAGTGTAGAAATCTCCACAGTTGTTAGCTTTTTTTTTCTTAGAAATATTTATTTTCTACAAATAAAAATCTAAAAGAGCTTAGTGACAATTTTAGACCACCATTGTTTCTCAACTTTTGATTTGTTGATAGAGTTATTCTTAATTTAAAGTATTTTAATAAAGTTTATGTGACACCACTGAACGTGACGTATGGAAGTAAACACGCTGCACCAGTTGTGTCTGATGAACAAGTGGTGAACAAGCCCAAACAGCCCTGCTAATATTCAATAATCATGGAGCAGCACTGGTAAGAGAGATTCTGCCGGACAAAAGAAAAAAACAATAAAGCACATTGACTACACCCTGGCTGCCATCCACGTTGCTATCCATTGATTACTTTCCTGATTTCTATCACTCTGGTGACATCATCAATGCTAAACCAGTGTGATGGCATCACTAGATGCAGCAGTTTGGGTAAGGAGGCCATGAAGCTTTATATATCCTTCTCAATAATAAGTGGAAATAAATCTTTATTGGCCTTTCAGCAGCTATACCCTTCTTATAAATGCTAACCAACATTATGCATAATTCTAGCATTGTGTCCAGATTCCTGTTTGTTGAACCACTGGTGATAATGTTCACTTCATAGAGATTTGAAGGTCTCCTTGCTAAAATCCTAATCTGAGTTTCCTCTAAAGATTCTCAACCAGATCAAAGAGCCAGGTACCACTTCTAGTATGAAATATGTAGATAAATAGTAAGATTACTTGACTTTCGCCAGGGGGGGGATGATGTCTTCACTGATTGGAAAAATTTCAGATTTTTGACTTTCCTAACAGCTGAAATCTGACATTTTCTAATAAGAATACACATGTAAATCATAAAAAAGAATGCATAAAATATCAACAATATACTTAAGACATGCGTATTAGAAGACTTAATATATTTCTGATCATGTACACAATGAACTGTAAGCCCTTCCCCCAGCTACTGTTTCTCAATTAGAAACCCTCCTTCTCTCCTCCCTGTCTCCGAATCAACATTTAACAGCATTACAGCTAGTTTTGATTCTGAATCTGGTCCAAGGCGGTCTCCACAAGCTTTCCGCCTGGAGTATGATATGATTGTTTATTCTTTTGTGAATGCTTTAGGTCCCTTTTCTCCTTTCATTATATCATCATAAAACATGAAGTTATAATGTAGCTTTTTTTTACTGAATTTATGTTTTTTTTCTTTTTGTGACTATGCTCCATGCTTTTATAGACAAATCTTTATGCAGTTAATCATTTTGAACTGGAGATTAATGAATCAATTTATTCATCCTTTATCATATTTTCATTTGTTTGTGTAAACGTCTGAAATATTAAACAGGCTGCGGTACCTGCTAGCACACATGTAACCCCATGATTTCTATCAAGAAAGTGAAGAGCAGACATTATCCCAGTAGTGTAGGTCTTTAAAAAGTCTGTGGAATATGATTTCATGTCTGCTGGGAGGGAGGTTGGCTGATGTCGATCAGTTCAGATGAATGACCTGGATTATATATGATTGTCAGACTCTGGGGTCCCCAGGAAAAAGCTGCTTCTCTCTCGGTCTGTCTCCTCTGTTTTATAAGGCCAACACCTGAGGCTGCTTTAGCTCTTTAAATAATCTCAAGAAAAGCACCTAAAGGTGGTTCCTGTAATGTAATTTCATTGTGATACCGCATGCTGGTTCTGTAGCAGCCTGCAGTTATAAAAGTACAGTTTAGGTATAACAGTTGTAATTGTTTAATAAATGTGAGCTTTTCATGCATGAAGCCAGTTGACATGAATGGCTAAAAAGGTGCTCTGAGTGAAAATGGGCTGGTCTTCCTTTTGCAAACAAGAGTTCTGCTTTTACTGGTTAGGTCAGTGTTGACACAGACACAGTCCTCCAGAGTGATTCTAAGAGACGGAAAGTCGTCAATGTTTGGCACACATGATTAATTGTAGGATGGTGCTTGAGGAAAGGCCATAAATGTTGAGTAGAGCAGGGTGGTGAACGAGCAAGGACAGACATGTATGGGGGGACTGAATGGGAGAGGGTGCTCATGTCAGGCTGCTAAGCAGATGCCTCTGCCAAGGACTCAGAGAAGGGATAGTAAAAAGGAAGTGATGGGGTTTCAGGCTTTTGACCTCGTATTTAACTATTTGATTTGAACAGTTTTTAAAACGTGTGGTTATGAGGGAAAATCTTTAGTCTTTAGGGCTGGACAATGATAAATAGTGCTTTTTATCATGCCAAAGGGAAATCCAGAGTCAGGAAACTGTTCCAGGTGTGATTCACAGACAGACAGAGAACCGGGAGGAATCAAAAGACAGGTCAGGCAAACAGATCATAACAGGGACAGGCAGGCTCAGAAGTCCAGAGTCAGAATGGGTCAGGATCAGGCAATCAGAACACAGGAATACTAGAGAACTCTTACCAAGACTAGAATAATCTGGCACTGATGGTTGGTCTGAAGGCTGGTTAAATAGGGGCTGAAGCAGGCAGATGAGATGAACAGTAATGAGAACTGGGCAGAGATACGCAGGATGATTGAAATGAGTGATCAGACCAAAAATCAGCACCAAGACCATGACAGTGACACTGGTTTGGCACTTGACCTTTAAGCAGGAAAACCACTGTAAACATAAAGCCGCACATGGGTAGCATATTCATGTTTCAGATGTGCCTAATTAAAGTCTACAGTTTTCATAACTCAAAACTAATTTCAAGGTTTGAAGTATTAAACCTTTGGCTTTTCAGCAAATGTCACTCTCCAGATTAGGGATATAATGCATTAATGGAAATTATTATCAGACTGCCCTCAGTTTCTTTTTAGTCAGCATATCATACCTGGTTTATTCACAAAGTATTTGAAAAAAAAAATGCTTTGTGAATATCTCATAAGAACAAAATAAAGAGGGTTTAAAGAGAACTTTTAAATTGGTTAATAAAGGATCCTCTCTAGGGATGATGTTCATTGTATCCTTCAGGTAATATATAGATACAGCAAGAAATTGAAGAAAATAAGGATGAGAATGTTTTACACCAATTGGACATATATACACATATATAAATATACTAACATTGTGAAGTAACCTTTTTGATTATTAGTAAGTCCCATGTAGAGCATTTTTTATGGTGACAAAAATATTGCCTAAAGACTGTAATGAATCTTTAATTACTATTCATTGATACCATTTACTTATTGCATTACACTCCCTAAAATGTCAGCAAAAATAATAAAGATTATAATTGAATTAATTAATCAACATAGATGACAAAAGAAAAACTGTAATCCAGAACCTAATTCTAATTAAGCACATTTCTTTGGTGGAAAAAGTGTATATTGCGGTCAATGTTACAATGCTTTTAGAGAAGGTTACTTATAGAATATGGTTTATTAAGATGAGAGAGATTCTAAAACTGAACACATTACTAAGGCATCAGAAAAGCTTTGTAGTTTCCTGTCTTTGAAGCCATGATCTCATTCTTTTCTCAGAAATATCTCTGTAAGAGTAAGTGCGCTTTTGCACTTGTGCTCCCCTGCGTGTAGATCGATGATTTCTGCAGCGGAACAGCTGTATGTCATGACAAGGATCATATGTTGCATGACACCGATGGAGCTCATTGGTCTGCTGCCATGCTAACCCATGACCGTTCCACTGCTCTGGCTTGGGGCAGCTGTGGGAGAGATTGAATGGGTGGGAACCTACCTCCACTCAGAATATGACAGTGTGCCGGATCTTTCTGAGCTGCATGGTTTTCTCCAGAGATGAGCTCAGAGCTGCATATGGTCCCCAGAGGAAGACAGTACAGCTTCAATAATGTAAGAAGGACCAGAACCCAGGGGTTTAGAGTCAAAGATAATTCTCACACCAACCATGTATCACGATATCCACAATAGTAAGCTGACAGCTAATTCCTCATGCTGCTCTAGAAGAGACAGCAAATGCATAAATCTGGATTGGAATACGTATTCTTTTCCAGTATGTCATCAGCGCCTCACTTTCAGAGCTCTCTCTATATTTTTAGCTTGACTCTTTTCCCCACAACTAGGTTAGGAGCTCATGTTGATGGCCTTTGTCCTGTTGCAGGCAGTGAACACATTTGTCTCTTGGGAGCGGTATTCAGGTCAGGTTCTAAAACAACAGAAAGACGCATCACCTCTATTGGGCATCAAACAAAGGATAAGCTAAATCAGGCAGCGTTGGCATCAGAGCTCTGCTTACAGAGTGTACAGAGCACCAGTACTGGTGCTAGTGTTTGGGATTTAAGGACTCGGAGAACCAAACTTAAGCTACTGTTGTAAGAAGTGACACAGGGCCTTTGGAGGTATTAATACCTCTGACTTTATAAAATAATTTCATACAACAACCACAAGTTTTTCACCCATTGACAGCTGGAAATAAGCACCAGGAACCCTCATGATCCCAGTAGGGATAAGCGTGACAGAAGATGGATGGATGGATGGATGGATGGATGGATGGATGGATGGATGGATGGATGGATGGATGGATGGATGGAACTAACAAAAACGAATGAACCACAAGCTTGTGGCAGCAGCAGAGCAACACTAATTCTCAACAGCTAGGGAAGGAAGAAGAAAGGACCCCATTAAGGAGATAAAGAGAAATACAGCCAATATAGTTCCTGGATAAAATGCAAATGACTCCTTTTTTAGCTCCTTTTGTTCCTAAAACTTATTCAAATATATTCAGCATTTACAAACTGTAATTGTAAATGATTATTTGAAAAATTAATTCTGATGGCCTTTTTTTTCTCTCTTCATTTTTAGCTTCTCTCGCCTTCTCTCTAAATAGTGTCGATGTCCTCACTGATGAAAACACAGCCTCTCAGTGGGGTTACTCTGTTAATGCAGTTATTTTTCCTATAAAACAAGATTATAACTTTGCATTTAAATCAAAAACTTTTGGATGTTTTCTTCTGATTTTACAAGTTTTACTTGTGGCAAATGGGAGATACTTTTCTTAGAATTTGTCTTGCTGCTCTTTGTAGTAATAACAAAAACAAAAAAAGATCTTTGTAAAGATTGTGACTCATACTGTCATCGTTTAAGCCGTAGATTCCTTTAACAAAAAGCAGGTTTCCTTTTTCTTTAAGCCATATTAAAAATGTATGCATTTGGTAATTTACCTCAAGTTGCTTAGCAGTTAGATCAGGTTTGTTTTCAGGAAAACGAAAATCATCTTTATTAACACAAGTTCCTAATTCAAGCTTTCATGTGTTAGTTTTTAAAATTCTGATTATCCAAATAGAGCTGAATTTGTGAATATTCTTCCAGCTGAAAAAACAAAGGGACTGGAGTCTGTCTGAAAACACTGATGAGCATGTCTTTGTGGAAAGTGAACTCTTTCTTCACACATTAACCTGATCCGCTCTGTTCTCTCTTTTAGGAGATGTTTACATCCAGCCAACACAGGACACCAAGAACCCTGTCATCTTTGGAGTTTTCACTGTTTCTGGGTTAGTTATCTTTACTAACAACTAAACCTGCTCATTTCCTATCACTTCACCAGTGAGAAGAATTCACTTATTTCTTAATTTTCTCCACAGTTCTGTGTTCAAAGGCTCGGCTGTTTGCGTGTACTCTATGGCCGACATCCGCATGGTCTTCAACGGACCCTTTGCCCACAAAGAAGGTCCTAATTATCAGTGGGTTCCCTACACAGGGAAGATTCCCTACCCTCGTCCCGGCACGGTGAGTAACACCATCCTCCTCTTGCATTTAAAACAAAACTACACTGCACTATGAGTGGCAGTTTTTATGGCAGACCTCTTTTGTTTTTTTGCACTAATGCTCAGGATGTTATTGTTTCCTTCCTCAGTGTCCTGGAGGTACATTCACACCCAGCATGAAGTCAACAAAGGATTACCCTGACGAAGTGATCAACTTCATGAGGAATCATCCTGCTATGCACAATGCCGTATACCCAGTGCACAAGCGCCCCCTGGTTGTCAGAACCAATGTAGACTATGAGTTCACCAGCATCACAGTGGACCAGGTGACGGCTGCTGATGGCAACTATGAGGTGCTCTTCCTGGGAACTGGTGAGTTTTTGTTGAAATTGAGAATTTTATTAACTTATTCCAGCAAGAAAGAAAGCTGCATCCTTTTACAATATTGTTTTTTAAATTTCATTTACTCATTACTCATCATAATTGTTGTTGCTATTGTTATCATGTATAGTTATCATATATAGAACTGAATAATCAGCTCGCACTGCAGACACACAACATTTGCGAAGAATTATTGCCACATCCGGCACTCCTCATCTCAGATCTGTTTGGATCATTTTAAACTGATGGAGAACTCATGAACCCTTTGATCTAAGTCGCCATGCTGAGTGGCACTGTGGAGAACAGGATCCCCCTCTGTGGAAATAAATCCAATGTAAGTGGGGTGATTGTCTCCCCAGCAATCATTTATCTTTTGGAGAAAAGCATTCTTGCCTTTTGTGCTCGAGTGGAAATTTAACCAATCAAAGGGATTTTGCCCCTCTACTCACATGGAGTAAACAACAGGAGGGTTGTACCTGGAGGGCAAGAGGGGATCAACAGCAGGGGCAGAGAACAGAATCAGCAAGGGAGGAAGGAGGGTCACAGTTAGCATATCCATCACTTTAATCGGCCCTGCTGCTCTAAGTGTGATCATCCATTTGCTTGCATGTGTTGAACTTCTACCGCGGCCTAAGAAGCCACAACACAGTCTGCCAACCTCCCATGTTGCGTGTTGCACCTCTAAACTCAGCTCCTTTGTGCTCCTGTGCATTACTGAGAGGAGACTGATGGGCAAACAGCCCCTGCAGAGGAATGTGTGTCCTTTGAGCTGCTTTCAGAGATAGTTGGAGGTATTCAGGTCTACACTTGGACATGGTTCAAAGGACATAATAAATCTCAGGTATCCTCCTCGCTGGAATCCTGTACAGAAATTAGACGGAGCAGGGAAAGGCCAGAGAATGTTACTAAACAGACAGGTTAAGACAAGAGTCATCTAAAGAAAAAGTTGACGTCATTGAAAAATAACGCTAAACCGATGAGATTTATTTGTCAGAGCATAGTAGTCTGTTGATACTGGGATTATTCCCAATGGTTGGAGCTGAGAGAGTCAAACAAGCCCCTGATAAGGTGCTGATAGACTGGTGGTGTGACGTAGCAGACATGTGGCTGAGGGTTGTGTGTTGTGCTCCACAGACAAGGGATCAGTTCAGAAAGTTATTGTCCTGCCCAGAGATGACCTGCAGACTGAGGAGCTGGTTCTGGAGGAGGTGGAAGTTTTCAAGGTGAATCCTCTTTCCAGTACATCCAACTATAACTTATATAATTTGCTTATTTGCGTGTGAAGCTGACAGTTTTCTCCCGCTTTTAATTTTCACCATCCAGGTCCCCACTCCTATAACAACGATGAAGATCTCATCGAAACGGGTAAGCATGTGCCAACACTGATTGTCTTCTGGTTTTCAACTAAACTGGAAATAAACCATTCCAAAAGCACTGAGCACATGTATTGGTAGCTGTGGTAAATATGTGTAAAAATCTTTTAAATTACATTTGGAGTCAGTAAATGCATTTCCATCAAAATTGATGTTAAATATTCCTTTATAATGAGTGTAGTTGAGCAATTATTCAGTTTATATTTTACATTACCTTTATTTTAACTTAATCCAAGTTTTCAGGAACTTATTACACATTATCGTGTTTTTTCCTGGATTAAAATAGAGAGATTGAGAGCAATTTAATTTACCCACTGACTACCAATATGGAATTAACTAAATATTTGGTTGGGGCCTGACAGTACTTTACTGGTCATTTGGAAGTGATGTTAGAAAAAAAAAATCAAAAAGCCCCATTTTGTTGTCCTTTGAAACATTTGCTTGACTCCTCTTAAAGTAGAACTATTCTTTCAGAAAACACCAGTAAATACTCTACTGGGTCTGTCATAAATCAAAAGAATCTACGTGGTAAAGTAACCAAAGTCTGTTTTTGAAAATGGTGGAGTATATTTATTTCTATATACCAGGAGAAGTTCGATAAAACGTTTTATTTATTTTTTTAATTCTGGAATTAATTTGGTTTATTAAATCTTTTAGGATGATAATGATCTAAAATAAGCTCTCAAATGAATGTGGAAGTAACTTTCCTTAGACCTAAAATTTCTTGAAAATCAGTAAGTCCTCATTATAGAAAAGCTAGGACTGGACGATCATAAGAGAAAAAGGATGGAAAAAGGATTGGTAAAAGTACCTTTGCTTAATGTTCCATTTCTGTGAAATGCTGTGGAAGAGGACTAAAAATTGTCAAAGGGAGTTTTAAAAAATATTAACAAAGGTGACTGCGTTATTTCTAAATATCTCAAAATACATTTTATGAATACTATCTTTATAAAGCAAAGCGAGTAAATAGACTATTATTTTAAGGCTTTAAGAGTTATTGTATGTCTGTGATGTACATTTAGAAACATCACACTCTCTGGCAACTTATACTTATCTGGCTCTGTGAGGCTGATTCTTTTTAGTTCATAACTCTTAGAAAATCCATAGGGGAAACGGACAATGAGGAGGAAAACATGGAGAAGACATCAAAAGTTCAGAGTGGTCTTTCAAAGCAATGAAAATATCAAAACCTGGCCTCCATGTGGTGATGTCAATCTGCAGATTTAATGCTCGGGTTACATGCAGCCTGCCAGGTGGATCTTTTTCAAACCCTTGATCATGAAAACCATTAGAAAGGCAATTCTCTTCAAGAGTATTTGACTCTGCTTCATGTTTCTACGTAAAACAGGATCTTAGCATTCTTTTTTTTTTGTATGGCTTATTTGAGAACTCCAATTAGTTCTAGACTCTTTATGATTAATAATTCTTAGTACCGTTCTCTTCTCTGTCCACAGCAACAGCTATATCTATCCTCTGCTGTGGGCCTAACCCAGATGGCCCTGCACCGCTGTGATGTGTACGGTGAGGCCTGTGCTGACTGCTGCCTGGCCAGAGATCCTTACTGTGCCTGGGATGGCAAGTCCTGCTCCCGCTACTCTGTCTCACAGAAGAGGTAAGCACCAATAGCAGTGGCAATAGAAGCACTGTTAGAGATGTCACTAACTGACTAACTCAACCAGTTGGTCCGGTGTTACTCAAATCGAACTGCCTGGATGGCTGAGTGGCTGTTTGGTGACTTGTTGGCTTATTATGTGAACCTAACTAGACTAAGGTGTTTTCTGTACAAGGATTGTAATAAATCATATGAGGCAACAAGACAAAAAGAACTTGGTCTTTCATCATATCTTCTTCAGTGGCTTTATGTATTATTGGACGGCTTTGAATCGCTTGCGGTTGCTTTATGATGTTTTTCTCTCCTTATTTGGCAATACTGGTCTGACCCCTTTAGACGAAGCCGGAGACAGGACGTCAAATATGGGAACCCCATCCGACAGTGCAGAGGCTTCAACTCAAACGGTACCCAGGCTTCTGCAATCATATTCAGTCAACATGTCATCTGTTTAAAACAAGAAATTCATACAAATGAGTGCTCTGTCTCTGTTTTACAGCCAATAAGAACACTCTTGAGATGGTGCAGTATGGCGTAGAGGGAAGCAGCACCTTCCTAGAGTGTCAGGCCCGATCTCCGCATGCTATCATCAAATGGCATCTGCAAAGAGACAACAGTGACCGCAAGAAAGAGGTTGGTCTCATTAGTGTACTCCACCTGGTAAAAGTATTCCTACATCATGAACTTCATATAATTCTGCCTGAGAAGAAAGGGATTATTGACTTCAGGTCCGAAACAATAAATCAAATTAATTGTGATAAATCGATTATTGAAATAATCGTCATCTAATTTAGTAATTGAAATAATCTTTAAGTGGAGTGTTGACTCTAAAACATGCCTTTAGCTGAAAGAGAACCCACTGAGAGACACAAGTATAACAAAAATGTAACAAAAATATGAAAACATTTTGCATTTAAGATAAAAAAAAAAACGTTTCCGTCTGTAAATATGCTCTGTCCAGAACTCCTCAAGAGGAAAAGTTTTAGTTTCACCTGGTTTAATTTTGTAAAATGTCTTCAAGGAACCTTTTGCTATCAGATAATTAATCGATTACTTCAAAAAATAATCGCCAGATTAATCTATTTGCTAAATAATCGTTTGTTGCTTCCCCAATTGACTTGTTGACACATTTTAACTAAAACAAATTCATCATTAGACTTTAACTTTCCTAGCATACCTTTACTTGGTCGGGTTTGGACCAGCCGCAGAGCTGATGGCTCAGTTCAAATGCCCGGTCCGCTCCAGTCAGCGACCCAGCAGCCCCATAGTTATGCTAGCATTGCTATCAACAGCGACAGAATCACACTTACAGTTCTCGGTTGTGATGGCTTTATGGTCGGAACAGCCCCTCATTTCAGTAAAAGACATTCAGCAAATTCTACTTTGAACTGTCCAAGATTTTGAAAGCTGTCTTCGGTGAAATGCTTAGAGGAAATGAACAGCTGAGCAGGGATCTTGTGATAGACAAAAAAAATCCATGCATGTCGAGTCTTTGGATCCAGGGCAAGACTGAAAAATTTTACCTTTCTCCATGCAGCCTGGAACACTGCATTTCCACCTCCTTCAGACCATAATGTAATGGTTAGCCATGGAAATCTGACAGCTGGCTTAGAGGTGCAGAGTGGATCTCTTTTTTTTACAACAGTCATTTATGTTCAGTCAAAAAAACGGCAGCCCAAGTAACTAAAGAGCAAAAGGGATCTAAGTAGTAATGTTGCGAGCATTACTGCTTCCAACAGTAATGCAAAATATTCAATCGGGGGTAGCGCCATCAGAAATCAAGACTTCTCAGATTTTTATGTTTTAAATTCTAAGGAAATTCTTTTGTTCCTTTTTGTTTGCCTGACTTTGTCCAGCAAACCCCCAACAAAGTATATAAGGTTTGGTTGATAGTAAATTTTTATCTTAAGTTTCAGCACAGTTCATCACATGCTGTCTCTCTGCCTCCATAGCTGCGCTCCGATGGACGGATATTGAAGACGGAACAAGGTCTGCTGCTGCGTTCTCTTCAGCAATCGGACTCCGGCATGTACCAGTGCACGGCCACAGAGAAGAACTTCAAACACACATTGGTCAAACTACAGCTGGTTGTGCTGTCAGGCCGTGCTGTCAACAACGCCCTGGTAGATGGTGGCGGAGGGCTGGTTCCGTCGTCCCTCCACTCCAGCGGCAGCCAGTGGACCCCCAGTGCTGGCCAGTACAAGGACTTGCTGACCATTCTGAGCCAGCCCGAGATGAGCCTAATCAATCAGTATTGCCAGGATTACTGGCAATTTGGAGACCCCCTGCTAGGAGCCCTCAAAGCCAAAGACCTGAAGGAGCTCAAGGAGCAGAAGAAGCCCCGCAACCGTCGGCATCATAGGCAGCGAAAGGAGGAAGAAGAGCAGCAGGGAGCAGAAACATGAGGAAACTGACTTTGTGTTTGAAACATCTTCAACACAGCTTTCCCCCCACCCGCCTTCACCCCCACAAAAACTGGGGAAAGACTTGGTGAGAGTAGCAGCTTCTAAGAAAATAATCTGAAAACTGAATGAAAAAGGCTTCCAAACAAACCCCCCATACACCCCCATCAACAGTAAGATATATGACACAGTATTTATTGTAGGTTGTAAATAGTATCATTCTGTGGATTTCTTTGTACTTACAGGAAAAAAAGACATGGTCTTTGTGTATAGGTACCAATGGGGGGCAAATATTGTTATTGTTGATTTTAATGTTACTGTCGTTAGGAAAGTCATTTGTCAGCATCGTGTGAACTTTGACCTACGGGAACATGTTATGGAGCATGAGCTGTTCAGACTCAGAGCAAACTATACGACAAAGTGTCTGTGTGAGATGTGTTGCTGAGAACAGGTGATGGGAGCCTTTTTGTACTATCATGATTTTTTTCTGGACACTCCAGAGGAGCCTGTAATGTAACCCCCCTGTGGCTGCAGACCGACAGACTGACTAAATGATGGAAGAGGATCAATGAAATGTAGTCCTGGTTATTGTTGGGAAACTCTTCTTTCTCAGTGGGAACCATTGTAGGGTTTTTCTATTATGTCTCTGTAGATGGGAGGACTAATTGTAAAGCAATGTGTACTGTTTATGCATACCAGGACAGTTATTAATTGGGAATGTAAGAGATTTAACAAAAAAAAAGAAACCAACTTATGTTTACTTTCAAAAAGTAAAAATTCCCCCATTGTGTGTTGCCTTACACAAATTTTCAATCAGCTTAACTTTTTCACATTATTTAACATTACAGAGACCTAGATGTGTTAAAGGTATAGTGTAAGATTTTCACAAATTTTTTAAAAGACCCGCCCTCTAAAATAAAAAAAAGCATATACACAACCCTGTACCCGCTTCAAAGAGAAGACGCCTATTAAACGTGTGTGAAAGCATGCATGAGCCCATTTCTCCTCGTGCACGCTCTGTTTAAAAGTTGCTGTTTGCATCGCTCTTACAGGCTTACTTTCCAAAATAAGATTTGCAATTTTTCCACTATGTCAGACTCCCCACCGGTAAGTGAAAATGGGGAGGAGCATGTAAGACGGCCTTATGTAAACATAAACAGAATGATTGACAATTAGGTGGACAACTTATTTTGATGATCCACATGGAGAAAGAACATCCTCCACTATACCTTTAAGATTTTTTAGGATGGGCCAACATGAAGTGGTGCATAATCGCAGAGTGGGCAATAAAAGCAAAACACATTTTTTGACTGCTTTACAAATATAGATTCTGAAAAGCTTTTTAGACTTTTTTGTTAATTCTCCATGCACCAGAAATACATTTTTTTACTACAGCTGCAGCTACAAGACTGTGAAAGAGCTTTACTCAATTTTTAAAGAATGGCTAATTCCTCCTAGCAAAACACCTTAAGCATGTTCAGAATGGATGATGAGCGTTTATAAACCACATTTTCAAGCCTTGTCACATATGTCAGATTTAGTTTTGATCTTTGCTATGTATAACAAACTAGTACCTAACTAGACGGGTTTACTTTAAATCTTTCCAAATAGGTAGAATGTAGCTTAGTGGCTAAAGTAGTTCTCTGGAAATTGAATTTATTATCCAGCTTCCTGATTGCATATTTCCATGTTCCCCATGGGCAATACACTTAACCCATAGTTACCCACTGATCTGCTGTTTAGTAAGGAATTTATGTGTGCAACTGGGTAAATGTGGCTGTAGTTTACAGATTTTTTGAGGGTCGGAGTGTCTAAAAAAGCATAATATTACTTCAGTCCATTCCATCTTTGAGATAAATGTTGCAAAATTTCCTTAAAAGTGGCTCCAATTATTTCATTGCAATATTTAAAGAGCTTGTTTCTCGATGCTGGAGAAAATGTATTCTCACAGAATGATGCTGCCACCACCATGTGTCAGTGTGGGGATGCTTGACCTAGAACTACAAAAGTTTAAAGACATTTAGTTGCACTGTATTTTCTTTATAAGGTATCAGCTTTAAAAGTGCTAAACTCGTATTCATTATTTTGGTTCCACATAACAATTATGCACTGCTTTGTGTTAGTCCACCCCAGGAAATGTCAGTAAAACACATCAAGGTTTGTAGCTCTATGGGGAAAAAATTTGAAAAAGTTCAAGCTGTTTTACCACTTTAAGGGACTGTACCTAAGCCACTGCTATATATTCAGACACAGCATTTTTCAATATCAGTAAACATAAGCATTAGCGTTCTTTAAACACAAACCTCACGTCCAAGCTGTACTATTTTGCACACTAGGGCATTATTTAGTTGCAATTTTCAAAGGACATTGGTGGGGGCCACATAAAAAAACAACACTTGGCCAGATAAGATGGAAGACTAAAACCGTTTTGCAGTGAAAGTTGTTTCATTAAGGCAGCAGTTGTTTGCAGTCGGCAGTTCTAAGCACAAAAGAGATTCAATTTATCTTTCATCCTCTTGAGATTTTTCATATGTGGAAAAGATGTCCATTTAAACAGCAGAGCTTTGTAAAAAAAAAAAAAAAAGAAAGAAAGAAAAAAAACAACAACAAACAAACAAGCAAAATAAAAAAAAATAAAAAGGTGACACCAAACAAAATATCCGGAAGCTGGCTTTCATTATGTGCATGAACCTGTATTTGTACTGTAATAAGGTAGTACGTGGTAGGTCTTTGTTATTCATCTCTGTTGGTGTACAGTGTGTCAGTTCTCTGCTCTCAAAAACCAAGGGAAACAAATGCTTTAATGTTAGGATTATAAAATGTTTACAGTGTAAAGCATGATACAAGTGTTCATTAACATAACTACAGATTCAAGTAAACATTTTTACAAACAATGTTTGGATACAATAGAAAGTCATACTAGATGCGTAATGTATGTTAATGTTATTGATAAAAGCAAGCTTTATGATTTAAAATTGAATGATAGTTCTGAATGTCGATATTCACTCTTGTAGGCATGGGTCAGTTTCCAGTTTTAAATATGAATGATCAAAACCTGTAACCATTCTGTCCCGTCAACAGTTGTCGAGCACAAGATAAAAGAGACAATGTTTTTTCCTGTTGCATGGTAGCACTCCCCCTTCTCACTTATCATTGCAAGCTGTCAGTCACTTTAATGTTTGCTTAACATTACTGGGAGATCTAAACTCCTCCACCAATGGAAAAGACAAATTCACTACTGTTAATGTTTTTATTTTATTATTATTTTTTTTTTGAAAATCTGAATTATAAAAAATGTCTAACCCTCTCATTCACACCTTTTGAAAAGCAAAGTTTTTTTTTTTTTTTTAAGAATGAGGATAGTATATTACATTAGAGTAGTAAGTAAACCATTTTGTTTTATTTAGTTAAATGCAGTTAAACCTGAACATTTTCAAACACCATATAAGTGGATATCAACACCTACACTGTAGCACAAGACTATTGTAGAGTTTAGTTTTGGATCTCTCAACAGTTCATATGCTAAATCAGATTGACTGTTATATCCAACAGTGTCAGCAGGCATGACTTAAACATAGTAACATGGGATTTGTATGGATGAAAAATCAGAAACCAGTTCAAAGGTCTGTTAGATTAAAGGACATCTGTTGATCTTTTAATAATGCTGGCTAATAAAAATGGAACAATTTTCTCCTCAACAACAGGAAAAGATATTGTTATTGATAATAACTTCAGAAACTTGACTTCAAAATACTTTATCCATTTTTTCAGGCTCATGGTTTTCTGAAACAAACAGTTGCAAAAAGACTCCAAGTTAAAATATCTGTTGGTTAAAAAAAGACTTATGTTGTAAATTGTTGTAAATGTTGCCAAATTTTAGTTGTCAGTTAGCTAATTTAACCTATCTCACCAATCTCCATTTGTGCTTCCAAATAAAGCTTTTCACATATCTTTAAATACCATATTAACATCAAATTAATATATTTTTACATTATATTATCACAATCATATCGGCCCATGCCTACGTGTTTATGAACTAAGCTATTGAAAAGTCATGCTTGCTAATCCATAAAAAAATACTTACAATAACATTTTACATAATAGAAAAAAAACATTGGAAGAAGCTAATCATTAACATTCACATAATTTTAAGAAGGTTTAGACATGTTTTTCCAGGCTTGTTCACAGTCTGAATGGGATGCAGCAGGGACGCCTCAGTTAGGACCCGCCTATAGTTCGTCCAGAATATTTGTGTCTGCTTTCACTGTGGGATATGTCTACATTGACAGAATCAAACTAAATCACTTTGTCTAAAACTAGATTTCTTAAGTCAGATGTTTTTCATGAAAAAGCACAGGTTGGTTGTTAAACTCCTTTTTACAAATATTATTGTTATGCTTTGTGTACATTTTCCTTTTCCTTTGTTGTTGCTGACTAATAAATTAAAGTTCTATATTTTATAAGAATGGTATGCTCCAACGTCTTCATTGTGAATTGCTTGATGCCGAATGTTTTTTTTGTTTGTTTGTTTCATGCTCTGCCCAGAAACCTCTTGATCCTTGGAATAAAGTTGTACTTGTCAAAAAGATTATGTATGCACATTTGTGTAAAATAAAGACACTGCATTTGAAAGGTTGCAATGAAACTTTTGTAATGAATGAATAGAAATTTATTTCAGACAATTTCAGACAGACAATTTGATAAACAACAATAAATGAATCAACCAAATAGACACAAAAAAGACTAGTTAATATCAACCAAACCAAACACCAATTTCCAAACTAACTAAATTCACCTGAACATAAATAGAAACAAAACCTCTCCACCTAATAAACCCGTTGGTATATGCAGCCAGAAAAGTGACATTGATTAATGAAAATTTTCTCAAAAAGGGTATGAAGAAGTAAAACTTATTTTTCGTACCCCCTCTCCCTTTAGTTGCACTTAAATTAACTTAATATTCACACACACACAAAAAAGAAATATATGTATAAATACATATACATACGTATAAATCAACACATAGTACATACTGTACTTACAGAAACACATCAGGCCAAAATCCACATTTACACCCTAGTACATTTTCTCTCAGAGTTCTGTGAAATACAGAATATGAAGTGCAGCATCATTTAGGAAATGTTTAGCTTTGCTGTGAATGTCAATACTTCTGGATATTTTAGTTTGAATGTATTTTATATGAGGTCTCTGGCAAATCTTATTGTCTATCATTATTCCTAAGAACTTCATTTCCTTAACTCTGTCTTCTGTCACATTATCTATCAGGATGCGTCAATTTATTTTAGTTTTGCAGTTTCCAAACAACATAAACTTGGTTTTATCTAAATTTCACGACAGTTTGTTAATATCAAAACATTTCTTAAGTCAACATAACTCAAGGTTGATATCAGCCATTAGCTGATCCAAATTATTACTTGTACAAAAGATGTTAGTATTGTTTGCAAATAAAACAAATTTAAGAATTCTAGAAACTTTTCAGATGTCATTAATATAAAGGATAAATAATTTTGGCATATATATATATATATATATATATATATATATATATATATATATATATATATATATGGATGTCTGTATATGAAGTTTTAGAAATCAAACTAGGGAAATCTAGGCTAACATTTCACACGCTATATACAAAATAAATGTCAACATGTTCTTGCGAAAATATTGACCTGACAGTAAAATACACTACAGAGAAGTTGTTTTATCTTCCGCAAATAAACAGCATAATAAGACCTCAAGATTCCTGTGGAAGCAGCTTCAGTCCCATACATTGAGTTCAGATAATTTAATGAGTTTGCTGGGCCAATGCCATTGAATAAATAAATACATAAATACAAAGTGAAATAATGAAATGTAATTCATTTATTTTTTAAATGACTGTTATTATTCAATGTTACA